GGAGAGGACGTTCAGTTTGCATTGGATAAGAGCACAGAAGTTTACATGCTTAATACCTACACACATCTCTCAATGCCAGGCCAGAGCGTCTGCATGGGAAACATGTGTGGCCCAGTGAATAGGTTACTGAACGGGGTGGCAGGAGGATGATCGCATGACACACCACGTTTAGGTCAACCAAAAGGGAGACCGCAGTGCATCGTGGGAAATATTGTCCAGCCATGGAGCTTAACCCCCTAGAGGAGAATGGGAGCATGAAGCATTAATGAGACATTGTGGCAGCTCAGGCAAACATAGATTAACAACAGCGACCTGCCCCAAAATGAAATACGAGGTTGGGATTTTCCTGATGGAAGATCAAAAACTGTCAGCTGAGCTACATTGTCAGTGGAAAAACCACTGATCGACCGTTGTCAACCAGTGCTAGCACTGACTGCTCAACTCTCCCCTCTTAGTTCATGGATAACAACTGATCTGCTCCCTTTCAAGTAAGTCCCTGTTGCTGGTACGTGCTTATCTTTGTGGCATCATTTGCTCTGGCAGAACCACACCATGATTAACAAAGGGCTAAGCAGAAGGGTTCAGGTGCACTGGTAAGAAACAGAGGGCCCGATTCTCTTGTCATTTGTAGCTGTAGGTAGGTACATTGAGTTTGGTAGGGAGACTTCTGCTCTACACCAGTGTGAGAGGAGGCTTGGGCCCAAGATCTTGTTTCCATATAAATCCAAGCCCCCTTCCTGGAAAAGGAAAGGAAACACAGACAAGTGGCACGAAGAATTGCTATTTATAAACAGATGTTCCAAAGCTTTCCATCTGGTGCCAGCTGCTCTTTCACACGATGGACAGTTTATCTCCCAGCGTCTCTCCCAGCATTTCATAACCAGTTTCCTTTCCGTGGACCTCTTGTCTTTTTCAGTTTTATTCCTGTTGCTGGCACCCTCGAGGTCACAAACAGAGAGGACATTGTGGTACCTGCGGGAATGTCTCATCTAGGGTGATTGCATTTAATCTGGAAGCGCTGAAGATGATGTTCCCCAGAGCTCCTCACTTCCTCCATGTTTTGGTCCTTTTCCCTCCTTGCATTGCTGGGTCAGAGCCCGTGCCGTTCGACAGGGCACACGGGATCTAGGAAGTGTCACAGTGGGAACACAAGTGATCCCGGTGGACAGACTGCTAATTGGAGACAAAGAGGAAGTCCTTTGCTGTGTATGGAACCCGGAAACCCCAAGGATGCTCATTAGAATGGGTGGATTAAATGTTTGTATTGACACCAGTAATGGGGCCTGGCAGTTGTATTTTCCATTGATGACAGGCAGCTGTAGAGCTCATTACCTTTAGACACCCACTCTCCCTGCCTACCTTGGCCAACTAAATTTGCAGCTTCATCGCTGCTTCTCTCAGCTCCATGTCTCTAAACCAGAAGTGCTTTCATAGGAGCAGCTTTGCCCTATATGCCTCTGTCTCTTATATTGCCATCCTTGGCTTGGTTCTCCCATTTCCATCCACTTTCTGTAAGCCTGGCTTCATCCTTCCATTCCCACATGCCTGAAATCTGCCAACCTGCCTGTCACCAGCTCCTAACCTCACCGCAGTGCCTAGATTCCACTTCTAGAGAGATCCTCCCCCACACCGGCATTCCCTTTGCCACTGCCTCACCCAGGGCTCTCCCAAGACCCAGCTGCTGCCCACCACCTTGTGCACAAACGACAGCGGTCCTTGTCCCCAGAAAACTCCCTCACTCCTTGCTCCTTTCAGGATCTAGTTCAAATCTACTTTGTTTTCAGAGCCATCGATGGGTATGAGTCAACCTGCCTCATGGAGCTTTCCTCTTCCACTAGTACCCACCCCAGCTCCTCCACTTGTCCGGCACTGGTCTCCTCTCTCTGGTCACACCACCTTACCATTGTGGGTGAGACAGCCTTCTCCTACATAGGATCTGCTGCTTGGAACAGGCTTCCTTTGTCTTTTTTGGCTGCATGAACCAGGCCGCGCATGCCTAGCCAGTGCTGTTCTTTATACAATAAATCTATTGGAGCAGGTCCTCGACCTCTGTAACTTGTCTATCGACTTCAGTGGGCTCTGCCTTTCTCCTAGGCAGTGAGCGTTCTGAATTCCCATGATGGGTTTTCCCTTGAGGAGGGAGGTGACACGTTCACATCACTGTTGCTGCTTGAGACGACGTCTAGAATCAATACGAAAGGGTGAGCCTCTTCTTATACCAAAGAGCTAGGACAGGAGTTCTCAAACTTTTTCTTTCTGAGCCCTCCCCCCACCCCATGCTATAAAAACTCCACGGCCCACCTGTGCCACAACAACCGTGTTCTACATATAAAAGCCAGGGCCGACGGTAAGGGATAGCAAGCAGGGCAATTGCCCAGGGCCCCATACCACAGGGCACCCCACGAAGGCAAGTTGCTCATGCTTCTGTTTCAGCCCCAAGTGATGGGCTCAGGGCCCCAGGCTTCAGCCCTGCACAGCAGGGCTTAGGCTTTCTAACCTGGACCCCAGCCAGTCTAACACTGGTCCTGCTTGGCGGACCCCCTGAAACCTGCTTGTAACCCCCCATGGGCCCTGGACCCCTGGCTGAGATCCACTGGGCTAGGAGGCCCCAGGTGGGTCAGATCAGATCAAAATGGATACACTAGTTAATGTAGGAGACCTGGGGGCTGAGACAGGTGATTGAAACAACCTAGGAAAGCAAGACATTTCTTTCTGGGGAACCTAAACTTTTGCTTGTCACAGAGTCTGAGCCCCGTCATGCAGGGTAAAATAAAGTGAAAGTCATACTAAGTAGGATTAAAAGGATCGGAGGTATTGTAACAGGGTAGTAGGACCTGGGGCTAGACAGTGCTGTTCAGAGATAGAGCCCCGCTAAGATCTGGTAGTTGGGCCTGACAGACGGGATCACCAGGCCCAGCTGGGAAGGGGTCAGGTGGTTCCTATAAAGGGCTGAGAGTTCTGCTGAAGAGCTGCATGGAGGAAGCTTCAGAGTAACAGCCGTGTTAGTCTGTATTCGCAAAAAGAAAAGGAGTACTTGTGGCACCTTAGAGACTAACCAATTTATTTGAGCATGAGCTTTCGTGAGCTACAGCTCACTTCATCGGATGCAAGCTCATGCTCAAATAAATTGGTTAGTCTCTAAGGTGCCACAAGTACTCCTTTTCTTTATGGAGGAAGCTGGTTCCTGTGGCAGACCCCAGGTTCCCATGGGGAAAGGCCTCTGGAACTTGCAGCCTGCGTTGGTCAGAGGAATTAGCTGTGATTTGGCGTTACACTGTGAGTCTTATGTTTAAGGCATGAAATTGCCCTGAAGAGGGGTCTGAACAGGCTGTGGGTGTGGAGCTATTCTTCCAGGGCTCGGGAGACAGGCCAGCAGCGCTGCAGGTTTGCACCTCCTGTTTAAGGCCATACATCAATCACTAAAGCCTTGGGTGTGTGAGCTGACAGGGCAGAGGGTTCTGCCTGCATGGAGGAGGTTGCAGATCAGGGCCTAACTGGCTGGAGCTAGGAGGTGTCTTGTCCTATGAACAGTTAGTTCCTACTTGTCCATGGCAGCATTTCTTGCACCATCCTCTGAAGCAGCGTCTGCTGCCTCGTGGGAAACCGGATACTGGGCTAGTGCACTTTTATAGCGCCTTCCATCGAAGGATCTCAAAGCACGTAACAAGCGGTTACTGATGAAGCTACTCCATGCTCCCGCATGGTACTAAAATAATCATACTTGGTGCTTACATGGTGCTTTGCTTCTCCACAGCAGCATTGCCATGGTGTCTGAGGGACATGTTAGATCTAGTTTACAAATGTGTAAACTGAAGCACAGCAAGGCTGAGCGGTTTGCCCAGGGTTGTGGCAGGAAGGCCCCAGTCTTGCAGCGAACTCCACCCGGACTTCAATGAGGTATACCACTCGGAGGTATGCCAGCGGAAGGGCACTAGAGTCCTGGTCCCCCGTTCTGTGCTCTTACCCCCTTAACCCCACTGCCCCCTTCTGTTCAGGGAAGGATGACTTAGGTACGACAGGGACATTGCATCTATTTGTTTAGTAAAGCTTTTTATTCAGAAAAATAAAAACAAATACAAAAACAAACACACCTCAATAATGAGAGGATTACAGTAAAAATCTCGGCTAAGGAGGTGGATAAGCATAAGGATCACATTGCCTACAACACAGCATGTGCCGGAAAGGACTGAATTAAAAAACGATAACAAACAGAAAGAATTAAATTAATTTTAAAATAAAAGCCCAGCGAAGAAAACTGGCAAAGAAGATCAATGCATTGTATGTTAGATTGTTGAGAGAACACACACGTTCCCAATGTGGATAACAGGTGAGGTCCATAGGTCTTGCTCGTTAATTAATATTCTGCAGTGATACATTCTGTATTATAATAAATAGAAAGTGTAAAAATATATCTGGGGAATTGAAATTCCCATCTGTGTGGACTATACTGGCCTTTTCACAAACCTCCCTTTTCTACAAAACATCTCCCAGTCTCAACGGTCTTCTCCTCTTCAAGAGGTCTAGCTACCTCTAGTGACATCTAGGGATCAAAATGGGACGGTCGATACAGAGTAGGTCATGGCACACTGCAAAGCACAGATCCTTGCCTCTTGCAGTGCTGACTCCTCGTTCCACTTCTTCCTTAAGCTCCGGCTTTACTTCAGACCAGCGGTTATGTGTAAATAGAAAGCTATACTCCTTGTGCAAATTGTTGGATGGTCCTTACTACAAACCATGATTGGAAAGGCGAACCTGTGAGATACAAGCGGGTCACTGTTATGAGTCAAGGCACCTTAAGGTACTGCTGTCCTTTTAAACAGATCAAGAAAAGCAACTGATACAAGTGGTGTTTGTTTTTAGCCGTTCCAGTTAATCTCTCCTCAGTGTCTGGAGAGTCTAGTTGAAGCTGAAAGGTTGCTCTGTTCTGATGCTATTCAGCAGGAGTGGTACATTTTTTGTTTTGCTGTCCTGTTTATGCAAGTTCCTTCTTTGGATACTGTCCCAACCCATTTCTAATGTTTCCCCCTCGTTCTCAAATGCTTTCCTACTGTTCTCTCATTTGCAGGATGCACTGGCCAATATGGCTTTACAGAGCCCAGATGTCGCCTAGAAAACGGTGAGCATTTGACTACTGCAGACTAGGAGTATTTGCAAGAAAACAGGATCTTTTGTTCTCTCAAAAATTCATCTGCTCACATTACCAGATCCCCCTCTGAAGTCACACTTTTCTGGAGAGCTGACTTGACAATTGCCAATACAGAGTTAATGAATGTCCAGTCAGTTTCCAAAGGGTTTTGGGCTGGGTCATGGTCATGTTTCTTAATACTGGTTATTCTTGAAGTTTTGCATGAATGGGTTTTTGTTGGCATGGATGTTTGAGGAATTTCTAGTCCTTATTTGCATAGTTGGATTTGCCTGCAAACAACATAGGTTATTTCATTTGTTGTTCTCCTGTTTGAAAAGCTGGTCATCCAGTCGGGGGTAGAAACAATGCCATGTGATTTAGGCGACCAATCACACATCACCGAATGTACAGTTCCCAAACTCACTATGACTCTCATTTGTTCATATAAATTGGGGCATACTTGCAAGTTGCTGCCTGAGTATCAGAAATCAGGATCAGTTTGAAAACGAGACCCAGAATAAAGGGTTGCATTTGCTGGATAACTTATTCAACGTGCCGGTGTAGGGAACATGGGAATGTTTACTGAGGTTGGTGTTACTCTCTAGATTGCAGACTGAGAAACACAGTAGAGCTGGCCAAAAAAAGTGGAACAAAGTATATACTGGATCCGCAAAAAAATCACCTTTGAGGAAACCCCTACATGAAATATTGGAAAACAGTTTGATTTTTTTCAACATTTTTCCTTTTTTTTTCAATGATTTTTTTTTCATGTATTCATTTTTGTTTACCCTTTACGTTTTCTGGCACCAATTTTAATTGCTTGGGTTAATCACAGGTTGAGTTTTTCCTAAACCAAAAATGTTCTACTTCCATGTTCTAAAATTTTTTTTTGGGGGGGGGGGGGGGAGGAAGGTCCATTAAAACAAAGGTTGGAGGAAATTTCCAAAACCGAGAAAATTAGTCAGTTTTGGAAAAAAACAAAATGAAAAAATGAAAGTTTTGCTATTTTTTTGGGTCAGCTCTGGACCCCAATTTGTACTGCACAGTTTTACCCCACAGGATCTGCCTAAATCCTGGTCTGGATAATACAATATGGGAATGGATTGCTGAGTGGGGGACATTCAGAGAAGAGCAGGATGAGCTAATAATGACGGAGGGCACAATAAGTCTATCTGAATGCTGTGCACACCGAAGAGGGATGATTAAGGCCCTTAAATGTCCTGAACTTGAAGCATACGAATAGTCCTGTTGCATTCGATGGGCGTATATATGTGCTACAAGTTATGCAAGTGTAAAAGCGTTTGCAGGATCAGGGCGTAAATCATTCCTCTCCCTCTTTGGTGTTCACAGAATTCAGATAGTCATAGACTTACTGAATCCTCCATCATCGTTTAGGTAATGCTGCTCCTCTTGGCACTCCCTGCAAGCAGCGATGCACTTCCATATTGCATGATCCAGACCAGAATTTCAGCAGACCCTGTGCAGTAAAACATTGCGCCTCATTCTTGGTGTGCTATGCAGGATAATGGAAGAAATCTAAGACAGGGAGCATTTAGCATGAATATAAAGGGAACTTTCTCAACAGCTATTAGGCTGTGGAATGGTCTCCTCAGGGAAATTGGGGCAGCCATTTTCCTTTGGGACATTTAGTAACTGGACTGGACAAAACTTGGGACAAGGTAGGGAATCCTACATTGGAAGGGAAATGACCGAATGAGGCTTTTCCACCTCTAACTCCCATGTGTCTCTGTTGTCGCAAATGGAGCGTGCTGACTTCAGGAAGGGAGGACCCAGGAGAGATCTGTGAATTCTTCGGGCATGTCTCCGCTGCACCAAGGAGTCCGGGGAGCCAGACTCCTGCTAGCAGGACTTGGGCTAGCATGCTCAAAAACATAGCAGAGTGGCTGTTGCGGCCCCGGGTGGAGGCTCTGGCTAGCTCCCTGAGCTTGGACCCAGCCGGTAGGGTGGGTCTCAGACCGCATGGCTAGCCTGAGCCTCGGCTGGTGCCATAATGTCCACACAGCTATTTTGTAGCATGCTAACCCAAGTCTGTTTCCCCGGGCTGGGCGGCTCGCTCCCTGCAGCAGTGGAGACCTACTTTGGAGGAACCAAGATCCTGTCTGTAATGCAAACCCTGACTCTGCTGGGGAAGGGGAGAGAGAGCAGAAGACAGCAGGGATTGAGGAAATGGTTCCGACCATAATGCCAAACCAAGGCTGAGCCCTGCCATCATCCCTGGGGACCAATGGGATGGATGGAGCTGCAGTGCTTGGCTGCCCCTACAGCTGCCATTGCTCTCTTCATCCCTGAGCCTCCATGTGACTGGACCTCAGTGCCTTTTCATGGGGTTGCCCAGGGCAGAGTCAGGAGAGAGATGCTTTCCATAGCAATCCCTGCAGCTTTAACCCAGGGGAGCTGGGAACCAATAGCCGTATAAGCCCTAAGCGTGACTTACAGCCAGCTGGCAGGGAGTGAAGGGGAAGAGGTAGACAACCCTGCCCTGCAAATGCCCTGGGATCAGCAGACTTGGGGCACAAGTCCTCCTGGATCATACCGTTGGGAAGTCGTGGGACTTACAGGTTCTCAGGATCATGGCCCATGTTTCCCTCTCATGGGGATTTTCTACAGAGAGGGAAGGGCCTTAGGCCAGGGCAATGCTATGATTATGAATTTAAATGCAAAACAGAGAGGATAGTCAAAGGTATCGTTCCCTCCTAATGTCAGCCCCTTACATGTCATACTCTGGGCTCCTGGACACAGAACTACTGAACTGCTGGAATATATAGATACAAGAGTGCGGGAGGAATGCTTCTTGTGGGAATCACGGACCCGCTTCTCAGCTGATGCAAGCTGGGGTGACTTCCAGTGACTTCAGCTGAGCTCTGACGATGGGCAGCAGCTGAGGAGCTGACAGCAAAACCTGAACTAGCTTAGGCCTGATTTTCCCCCTCCGTTCCTCCAGTTTTACACCAGTGTAGTTCCACTGGAATCAGCAGATTTCAACTGGAGTCACATAGCCATGAATCAGGCCACCTGTGTGTTTCAATCCTCAACCAGAATAGTGCTTTTGCAGTGACTGTCCTGTATTAAAACAATAAAACTGGTGATCGCATGGCGAAATAAAACCGCATGTGAGCGTATTTTAAAGTGTGATCATCAAAAAAGATCAGACTTTGAAGTAAACACTATGGCTCAGACCCTCAGAGGTATTTAGGTGCCTAATGCCCTGTGGATGCCAATGGGAATTAGACACCGAAATACCTTTGAGGATCTGGACCTCTCTCGCTTCAAGTAGGTGCTCTCTTTCTAGGTACATTGGCCCTGCTCCAGCTAACCTTTCCATACAGGTGGATGTCTGTGTCCCCTGGGGAGCCTATTGACTTCAACAGAGCTCTGCATGGGCCCACTGGTCCATCCATGTGGAGCCCTGTGATGATGTCTGCCTCTCTTATTGCTGTACGGAATGACGACCGATGACGTTTTGCACTGCAGTGAATCGCTGATGCTCTCCCCTGGGCCACCAGCAACCCAGGTCAGCTGGCTTAATATTGATATTTGGTGCTGCTGAGTGCTAGGATTCCAACCTACGGAAGAGTCAGTGTTGCCAACTCTTGGGATATTTGGTGTTTTTCCTTAAAGCCCCAGCTCCAGGAGTCACATGAAGACATCCAAAATCACAGATTTCATTTGAAAAAGTAAGTTTCTAGCCCATGCGGTTGCAGAGAAAACCTTGAAAACGTGACCCCCAAAGGCTCATAAAAAGAACCCCATATGTAGTATTTTTTCTCAGATCTCATGACATTTTAGCCAGTCTCATGACTGGGGGGGGCAGCTAGATCCGGGATTCTTCCAACGCTAGGGGTTGGCAGCACCGGGGCCCTTACTCCTGCATTGCCTCTGGAGGATCCCTTTACACATGCACCGCTCCCTGCTGAAGGCGGTGTCATGGGACCTGCAGGACCTCATAGTCGTCTGTATCGACTTCCGTCTTCACCACGATGATGGGCCCGTTGTGCTCGCCAGTCTCCAACAGCCCGTCTGCGTCCAGCTCCTCCGCCATGTCTTTCCCCTCCCCAGGAGGGGCTTGCTTTCTCAGATGGTTCCTCTGGTGCCTTTTAAAATGACCCAAGGTGGTGTAGCTCTGCCCACACTCAGAACAGATGAAGGGGCCCCTCCGGGTATGGGTGAGCTGGTGTTTCATGAGGTTGGCCTTCTGGGAGAAGCTTTTCCCGCACTCGGTGCATTTGAAAGGCACCTCTCCCGTGTGGATTCTCTGGTGGGTGATCAGGATCTCTTTCCGCTTGAAATCTTTCCCGCAGGTGTTGCATTTAAAGGGCCGGTCCTCCGCGTGGGAGGGCTGATGCAGGAGCAGCTGGGCCTTGTCGGGGAAGACCTGGCCGCACTTGCTGCACCTGTTGGGTTCGTACTTGGTGTGGACCCGCTGGTGGGTGATGAGGGCTATCTCCTTGCGGAAGCCCCGGCCGCATACGTTGCAGGGGAAGGGCCACTCCTCGCCTGGCTCGGCCTTGCCCGCGTCGTTCTCTCCATGCTTGGAGTATTTGTCAGGCTCCCGGGCAGCCTCGTGCTCCCTCATGTGGACTCTCTGGTGGGTGGTCAGGGCGATCTTCTGCGTGAAGGCCCTCCCGCAGGCCGCGCACTTGAAGGGCCGCTCGCCGGTGTGGATCCGGCGGTGGACGATGAGCCGGGACTTGTCAATGAAGCCCTTGTGGCAGTCGGCGCAGCGGAAGGGGCGCTCCCCAGTGTGGATGCGCTGGTGCACCACCAGCTGGGCTTTCTGTGTGAAGCTCTTCCCGCACTCGCTGCACTTGAAGGGCCTCTCGGTGGTGTGGAGCCGCTGGTGGCTGGCTAGGTTCTCCTTGGTGCCAAAGCCTTTACCGCACTGGGGGCATTCATGCTCCTTCCCCCCTGAGACCTCCCCATCTGGCCGGCCCCTCTCGTGGACCCGGTGGTGCTTGATGAGGGCGATCTTCTGGCGGAAGCCCTTGCTGCAGGCCGTGCACTGGAAGGGCCGGTCACCGGTGTGGATACGCCGGTGCACGGTCAGCCGGGACTTGTCAATGAAGCGTTTGCCGCAGTCGGCGCAGGGGTAGGGCTTCTCGCCGGTGTGGATGCGCTGGTGGGTGACCAGCTGGGTGCGCTGGGTGAAGCGTTTGCCGCAGTCGGCGCAGACGTATGGCCTCTCGCCCGTGTGGATCCGCTCGTGCTTGGTCAGCTCACCCCTCTTGGTGAACTTCTTGCCACAGACGCCGCACCGATGTGCCCGTTCCTCTGTGTGGGCCCGCTGGTGGTTGGCAAAGTTCCCTTTCTTGGTGAACGTCTTGCCGCACTGGGTGCAGGTGTAGACCTGGCTCTTACGTGGTGCCGTCAGGTCTCCTGAGTGGCCGCTGCCTTTCCCATTTTTGGCAGGCAGCCTCTCATCTGCCGCCTCACCAGGGCTCCCATCTCCCTTCTCCCTCTCATGGACTCTCTGGTGTGCCATGAGGCCTACCTTCTGGCTAAAGCTTCTCCCACAGTCGGGACAAATGTGGGGTCCCTCGCTCTGGTGCTGGCACCGCTGGTGCCTTAGTAGCTGTCCCTTGCTGCTGAAGCCCTCCCCGCACTCAACACAGACATGGGCCTCCCCCCTGGCGTGGGTCCTCTGATGGCGGATTAGGTGGATCTTCTGCCGGAAGCGCTTCCCGCACTCGGCACAATGGTAGGGTTCCTCCCCAGTGTGGATCCTCTGATGGGTCACCAGGATCGACTTCTTCTTGAACTCCTTTCCACACGTGCCGCATCGGAATATCTTCTCCCCGTCCGGCGTCGACTCGGGCATGATGAGCTGTGAGGCGTTGCCAGCATGGGGCCCGCCATGCCGTCGTATCCCCTCCCCAGTGTGGACCCTCTGGTGTTTAATGAGGGTGATCTTCTGGCGGAAACCCCTGGCGCACACCCCGCACTTGAAGGGGCGGTCACCTGTGTGGATACGGTGGTGGGCAACCAGCTGAGACTTGTCCACAAAGCTCTTCTGGCAGCTGCCACACTTATAGGGCTTCTCACCAGTGTGGATCCTCTGGTGAACGATGAGCTGTGACTTCTGCGTGAAGCATTTCCCGCACTCGGAGCACTGGTAAGGCCGCTCCCCTGTGTGGATCCTCTGGTGCTCCTTCAGCTGCGACTTGGTGATGAACCTCTTCCCGCACTCAGTGCACGGGAAAGGCCTCTCCCCAGTGTGGGTCCTGAGGTGCTTGGTGAGGTCCACCTTCATCTTGAAGCTCTTCTCACAGTCGGTGCAAGAGTAGGGCTTTGCTTTCTGCAGGGATTCCTTCTGCACTGAGAGATCTCCCTCCTGGTTCATGCCTTCCTGGCTGGCATCCTCTGCCCTTCTGCCGGCTTGCTGGCTCGTTAGCTTTCCTGCTGTGACGGCACTGCCCTCCTGCTCATGGTGCTCCACCAGCAACTCCTCCTTGTGGGTCTTCTGGTGTGCGGCTAGGATGCCCTTGTGATTAAAGCTGTTCCCGCAGATAGTGCAAGTGTACATCTTCTCCCGGGGTTGCTTGAGAAGATCTTCCACTTCCACCTTAACAACAGTCAGCTTCTCCATAGTGCGGTTTCTTGGGGCTGAGCTGGCAGGAAGCTCATGCACAAGAAGAGTGATCATCTGGGGTCTTTCTTGCCATGTCCTCTAATTTTCTTGGCCTGCCAAGGCTCAGGGGAGCTTCTGAGCCTACAAAGGTGCTGATGCCAGTTTTCATGACTCCCCTTTGGGCGGTAATTCTTATTTCCCTTCATCTGCTGGGTTCAAAAATAAAAAGACAGTCAGACTTTATTTCAAAGGCCAATGAGGAAGGAAAACTCCTATTTATAGCAAGATCCAATGGCTGGAAGTGGAAGCTAGTCAAATTCAAATTGGAAATGAGACACATTTTTAACAGTGAGGGTAATGAACCATTGGAATAACTTACAAAGGGTTATGGTGGATTCTCCATCACAGGCAATTGTTAAATCAAGATTGGATGTTTTTCTAAAAGCTCTGGTCTAGTTCACACAGGAATTCAGGGAAGTCCTATGGCCTGTATTGTACCAACGGGGCCGTAATGTAGGGTTTTGGGGGGGATGTTGGGAGCAGGTGGGGTTGGGGGTGTCGGGATGTAGGGTTTGGGGGGAATGTTGGGAGCAGGTGGGGCTGGAGTGGATGTAGGGTTTTGGGGGGATGTTGGGAGCAGGTGGGGCTGAGGGGCTGGGATGTAGGGTTTTGGGGGGATGTTGGGAGTAGGTGGGGCTAAGGGGGGATGTAGGGTTTTGGGGGGGAGATGTTGGGAGCAGGTGAGGCTGGGATGTAGGGTTTTAGGTGGGGCAGGATGAATGTCAGGGCTGCTGGGATGGGGGGGCTGGTGGTAGGCTGTTGGGTACGGGTGGGGTGGGGTGAGAAGGGGTTTGTACGTGGGTTGGGGTGCGAGGGGCCTTCGCGGGTCTGTGTGTGGATTTGTTATGCATGGGGTGGGGCCCCTTTGCTGTATGCCCCACCCTGTGCAGGAGCTCAGCTTGCTGACCCATGCTGCACCCTGCGGGCCTGGAGCAGAGGCTGCTTTGCACCCAATTCTTTAACCCGGGCCTGTGCTGGAGTGTGGCGTTGCTATGGGAACAGCACGTCTTCCCAGGGGACGGTGTAGTCAGCGGTACGGCCGGCAGCGGAACTAGCCCCATTGGGCTGGTTGGGTGACCCGGGGGGGCGGGCGAAGAGTTGCCCATGCCCACGTTGCTTGCAGCCCAGCTATCCAGGCTCCCTGGCAGTACCCAAGGCGGGCTGGTGTGGCCAGAGGATGTGTGGCTGGGCCCTCCCTGCCACGGGGCCCTCTGTCACCCTGGCTCTTGCACTGACGTAGCCTCCAGGAAACAGCTCTGCAGCTGCTCTGAGAGATGGAGGTGACCCTTCTTCCTGCCGCGCTCAGCCCTGCTACTTGGGACCAGAACCTGGTCCTACACGCCCCTCTGTGGGTCTGCGTGCTCTGAAATCGGAGGTGTGATTGCAGCACACGTTGACACGGCCAGGCGGTAACCTGGCCAGCTCTGCTCCTGCCTGAGGGCATTACCCAGGGTTCCAGGCACGTTTGTACAGCCATGCTGAAATCTGGGTTGCGGCAGCTTCCCGGCTATTGGTGTTTCAGCTAGCTCGTTTGGGTACGGCTACCTCTACACTACAGAAATTCTTGCGGGGGCCGATGTCCCCCCTACCCTCCTTCTGTCCGTGGTGCGCGTCCTCCCCTGGAACACTTCCCCCGACGGCAGAGGAGCAATGCGGGGAACTGAGAGCCAGGGCTCTCAGCTGCAGGCAGTTCCTAGCAGGGGCCTGGCTGCCGCTTGGGGCTTCTCACCTCCCTGCTCCCGGGCTTCTCGCCTCCGGCAGGGAGATCTGTGCCCGGAGTCTGGCTGGCTGCTATGTTCCCGGCGGGGAGCAGGGAACCAGGACCCCATGGAGCTGCAGGGCTCCCAGTGGGGAGCAGGGAACCTGTGGGCAGTAGCCCAAGCCGGGAGCCTGTGTGGCAGCCTGGTTTGGAGCAGAGATCCCGCAGCGGTCTGGCTGGGGAGTCGGGAGCTGCTTTCTTGTCAATCTTACGGCTCTAGCGGATCCAACAGCCGACGTAAGGAACGTAATGTTTACCCTAACTACACCGCCATAAGCCTTACGCCTCTCGTTGAGGTGGTTATTGTGTCGGCACAGCAGGGGAGTTACATTAGCAGGAGGAGCACTGCAGTGTGTACACCTCCAGTGTTCTGTCGGCGAAAGCCGTCTTTTGTCGACAAAACTGTGCAGTGTAGACAAGGCCAATGTCTCCGTGTGCAGCAATCACAACTCTGAGGCAGCGTAGATGTACTCTGTGCTTGCTCAGGGGGACAGGGCAGCAGCACCGATTCATGGGAAGGATTACAGGATCCTGCCACTCACTGCTTCACTTCCACTATTGTTATCGTTTATTACGTGTTCTGCTAAGGTGCCCCTCAGCCTGATACTTGAGTGGAAAGTTTGCAGAATACGCCACATGCCCCAGCTCTCAGCAGCTGCTCCTGGTAGTGGCAAATTGCAGGAACCCTGCCGATCTCAAGATCCCAAAGGAATCCCATATGGTCTTATCCCAGGTGTGAAATTAAAATCCAGAGTATTAGCTCAGAGCCCCCACCCTGGTTGTTTCACAGCCCCACCAACATCACAGGATGCCTGTTTAGTTTTTAGTAAATGTATCAGAAAGAGGCTAAAGTCTGAAAGTCTCCAGCACCGGGGCCCAGCTACCCTGCCCACCCTACTGCAGCAGAAGTGAAACTGACAGCTACATCTCTGCTGCTCTGCGACCTGGCATCCGAGTTACTCAAGGGACTGGAGGAAGCTAGGGGAAGCTGAGAACTTGCTCCCCCGGTGGGCTGTGGGGTCCTACTCCCTCCTGGCAGATGGGTGGGGTATATGTATGGCTCAGACTGATGTGACATCCTTAGCTAAAGGCTTGATGTAAAAGATGGGGCCCTCATGGGTCATCACCTGGTTTGGTCTTAAAAGCATGGGCCTCTACTACTTGAGCGGAAGGAGTAACCCCATTCACTGGCAGTAGTAGGCTTTTATCCTCATAAGTGGACCAGCTGGTACTACAGGAGGATCCGCACATGCTGAACCAAGGGGGCAAACAAGAACCACATCCTGGAATGAGTTCCTGCTGCCACTAGAGGCTACTGGGGCTTCCAGAGGCAAAAACCCGGTGAGACCTTGCGGAAGCCACTCCCATCCTAGAGAGAGACAAGGCCCCTATGTGGCCACTCCCCAGAGTGACCCCTCTCCTGATTACTGAAACCTCCTGCCAAGCAAAAAGAGCCCCGAACCAGCCCTCCCTTCCCGCTGCCAATGCTTCCTCAGTCTCCTCTGTTCTCGAGCCCTGGTTCCCGAAGCACTGAACTGCCTTGCTGCCTGTTTAGTCACCGTGAGTAGATAAACCCAGTACCATACAGGTGCAGGAACTAAGAGTGTGGAGGGCGCTGCAGCACTCTGCTCATGGTCCTGGCCCCGCCTCCGGGGTCCCGACTGTGGGCCCCACACCCGGGGCTGCACTCCTTGGCCCCGTGCCCTGGGCTCTGCACCTGTCCACAGCCTTGGCCCCCTTACCCCTGTCCAGGTCCCCCACCCCCTCCTGGAGCCACAGCCCTGCTCCCAGCCCCAACTCTAGGGGGTGGCGGGGGGCACGGACAGGGGCACAGCACCCCCATTACAAAAAGTGTTCCCATGCCACTGCATGCAGGTTGTTCTGTTGCGGACTTTTCTGATGAGACCTTAAAAACTAGGGTCCCTCCGCTCTGCATGGCCCTAAGGGATCCCTGGCACTTTTCAGAAGCACAGAGGTGACCGTGGCCAAACTTTCCTCTCAGGGCTTTTGTGCAGCATGCTGGCTGCTCCCCTCCGCCCCAGAAGTGGCTGCATTTCCGTGGTGCTGAATGTGTTTAGTGTGTGAATCCTTTCAGTGGAAAATAAGATCCAAGCTGCAATCTCAGCTGCTGAATCCTTGCTCAGCTCCCCTTTCCTGGAAAAGGGCCCTGATCCATTTACACACACATACACCTCCCAGGGACGGGGAGTGACAACCGAGACTGGGGCAAAGACGGTCATTCTGTGATGCCGCAGCAATGGCAGCAGGGGATTTCTCAGAGGCATCATTTTAGTCAGCCTTTTAAAAAAATCACCTTCCCTTCCTGTGGTTTTTATTTGCACTTTTTGCTCTTACCGAAGCCGGGAGGGAACGCGCTTTGTAGGGGCACTTCCATCTCACCTTTGCACGGGAGCCGAGCCTGGTGTCACTCGCCGGCGGGGAACCCCGGAGCCCCCAGCTTTTCTTTAAACCCGCAAAATGTTTCCGATCTTAAAACCAACCAGTTTCACACACCTTCAGTTTCACAACAATCAAAACTTCCAGCCATTTCCTGGTTCGCTCTGGGGACTACCGGGCACACAGAGAGAAGTTCCCCGAGAGCCTCGCCCCTAGGATCCCAAGTCAGCCCTCGGCTTACCTTTCCCTCACGGCCCTCAGGCTTAGACAGGGAGAAGGTTTTAATTCACCACTTGCCGGGCTCCCCATCCCCACGCTCGGTCTCCGCTTCCACTCACTTCTCCGACGGCTGCCGCGATGACTCACAGGAAGTCTGGGTCAGGGAGGTAAAAACTACCGGGGGAGGGAAGTCGGAGAACCAGAACCCGGTTCCGGGAGCAGCGCGGCTTCGGATCCGCCGCTGGCCTCTGAGACCACCGGCCTCCGGCGAGCCCGGGCCGCTGCGGCGGCCTCGCCTGCCGGGCCCCCGGCCCGCTCCCCGCCGCTGGGCAGGGCCCTGCCGGGCGTTGTCGTGGCCGCTCGGGAGGGCCGGGGCCGCCGCTGGCAGTTTCGATTTGGCGCCCGGGGGCCGGGGACGCGTGGGCCGCCCCCAAAGGGGTGTGAAAAGCCCTCCCCTTTGCGGCAAGCGGGTTCGGAGTCGGTAAAGCCCAGCAGTGTGCACGGCGCTGGGCAGGGGAGGGGGCGGCCCCTGCCCCAGGGGATTCAGAGCCTTCCTCCGGTTTCCTGCAGTTCGCGGCGACCAAGCCTGTCTCCTTACTCCTGTGAGTAAGCCCGTCAAAGTCACGAGGCTCATTCCTCGCTCTCAGGTCGCGCTTTTCATCCGCAGAGCTCAAGGCACTTCGCAAAGGCTGGCCATCGGTATCATCGTCCCCATTTGACGGATGGGGAAACTGAGGCTAAGTGAGACGGGCGCGTCGCCCAGAGCCCAGGTCCTGGGCCCTATCGGCTGGACAAGGCTGCATCGCATCACAGTGCCACGTATACCTAGAACATCATTGCTTAGAAGGGACTAATCCTAGACGTCCTAGTACAGTCCTCTGCCCGCTAGCCAGAGGCGCCAACTTCCCCTCTTCCCCCTGGGTGCTCGACCCCCGCTCCTCCCCCCAGCCCTGCCCCTGCTCCTCCCCTTCCATGAGGCCCTGCCCCACCCCTTCCCCAAAGTCCCCGCCCCAACTCTGCTCCCTCCCTGCCCCTATTCCAACCCCTTCCCCAAATCCCCCCCCCCGCCGCCCCGCCTCCTCCCCCTCCCCAGCTTGCTAAGGCACCAAACACCTGTTTGGTGGTGGCTGGGCAGGAAGCTCTGGGAACCAGTAGGCGGAGGAACGGGATGCAGCGCACTCAGGGCGGAAGGCGGAGGAGGAGATGGGGCAGGGGGGAGGAGCACCCACTATATTTTCCCCGTGGGTGCTCCAGCCCCAGAGCACCCATGGAGTCAGCGTCTATGCCACTAGCCCAGGCTGCTTCTCTGGTTTCCAAAACTGCTCCCTAAGCGCCTGCTCCAAAGCGCAGTGAGTGGAAAAACCCCCATTGATCTCAATGGGCTTTGGAGCAGGCCCTGCGTGGAAAGACAAAACAGGGAAGGCCTGATTGTGCCCCCTTTCCTCACACTGGTGAGCGCGAGGCTGCAGTCCTGCAAGGGCCTTCTCAGGGGCTTTCCAGAAGGATCTGAGCTTCTATTAAATAAACAAGTAGGTTTCCCGTCCTCATGGTGGCTGAGGAAAGCCTGGAGCAAGCGCAACCGAAAGGCTCAGAAACCAGAAGGCACACAGAGAGCACCCATTGTTTGTTATTTTAAAAAATCCCATGATTTTTAAACCAATCTCGTGATTTTCTGAGGCCTAATGCATGATTTTTGTATGCTTGGCACTCGTAATGCTGACTGCCACTGAAGCCAGTGGGGCCACTTGTGTGTAAGTTGCCATCCTTGTGAGTCTGGGTTGTGTAATTACAGCTACAATGTGGCTGGGTGACTAACAGTGAGTGTAACTCAGTGGCCTAATGGCCCGGCTACTGACTAAGGACTCAGAAATCCTGGGTTCTGTTCCTCGCCTGCTAAATGGCCTTGGGCCAAGCCATTTCACCTTTAAATGTCCTCATATGTAAAACAGGGATATTGGTTCTGACTTCCTCTAAAGTGTGTTCAGATCAACAGCTGGAAAAATGCCTGGTGTTACTGATTCCAGTCTGTGTGGTTGTCTTGTATTCCAAGCCAATATTGGTGTGGGTTGGTGGGGTTTTTTTTGCTAGTTTCTTCCAGTGCTAGTGATCAGGAGGGATGTGTGGCGGGGACAGAATTATGATTTTTAAGTTGGTGGTGTGCCTTTAACGAAAATGGGGATCAGCTGGTAGGAAAGGCTCCAATCATTTGCTCTCTTCTCTTGTTAACGACTCCACGTATCCTTTGTATAAAATACTTTTGCCAAAGTTCTCTGTTTCCTAATTTTGGACTGTGCATTCTGGAGTTATTTCAAACAACCAAACAACCCCCCATCCAACCTCTTTACTAGGATTGAGTCATTTCTAGCAAACATTTCCATGCTCTCAGGGTAAGGATTTTGGATTGAGAGCACAGGGCTCCTGAGGCCAGCCACCACTGCCTACTTCTTAAATTTTCAAACAAACACCATCGTGTTTTCTCCCTTCCTGGTGCACATGCTTGGGAGACACTCCCCATAACCACCCACAAAGCTACCTCATCATCCTCTTTCAACTTGTGCCTCAAAACTCTCCTAAGCCCCTTGGGATAGTAGACGACTTGTACCTCTGCATACTGGCGGGGCACAATCTAAAGGGGAGGACGCACACGTGACTGCCCCATGTGTCTCCTCTGCCCAGTGACCCGCCACCCTGCTCCCAGCCTGGGACCGTGGTGCTCTCCCCACCCCAAGTTACCTGTGGGGGGTGGCCTCCGGCTCACTTGGCCCCTGTCCCTGGCAGCTGGGGTGGCAGTGGGCTGAGTTCTGCCCCCACTAACCCTCCAGCATGCTCGGCCCCTGTCCCCAGCATCTGAGCCCGGGCAGGGAGTGGGCCACCGCTGCCTCCCAGCCAGGTTCTTTCAGGCAGAAGTGGCTCTGTTCCGCTCCCAGCCTGACTGCCAGGGAGAGCGGCCGAATGTGCCGGGGGGCAGACGCAGGGAGAGAAGGACAGAGCCCCTCTCTCTCCTGGCAAGCCAATTTGGGGTGCACTTGACCCCCCCAAGACTCCCCTACACATTGCCTTATCTTTTCATTCTGTGTTTGTACAGCTCCCAGCATAGTGGGGTCCTGGCCCAGGAGTAGGGTTCCTAGGTGCTATGGTAATGCAAATAATTAATAATAATTAATAATCAGAAGAGGTGGCTTCCATGCCTTGCTGTGACACACATATCCTGTGTGATCTTGTGCAGAGCCCCCAAGCCTCAGTTTCCCCATCTGTAAAACTGCTCTGTGACCTTGGACAAGTCATTGTATGTGGTCTGTGCCTGTTTCCTCACCTGTAGGGGAACTAAGGCCCAGAGAGTAAAAATGACTTCCCTAAAGTCACAAAGGAGGTTGGGGGCAGGGAGGAATTGAACCTAGAGCTGGTGACCCATTTCTTTAAGCACAGATGAAATCCCTGGAGTTACACTGCTGTAAAATGCATGTGAGCGCAGAACCATGATCAGAGAAAATGGCTTATTGTTTCTTTGACGTACCCACCAGCCTTTCCCCTTCCCTCATGACTTAGATTCTTGAAATCTGTTCTCACCTCTTTTGCTGTATGGTGCTACCCCCTAATGCAAGGATAGCCTTCCTGTGCCACAGTGCCCAGTCCGACTACACATCAGGGAAAGCGGCATGGGTGCAAATAGCTAGGAGTTTGCATTGGTGCAGTGACGCTGGTCCCAGGCCACCAACAGCTGTACAAGGGCAAATCCGTAGTATAGAAAATGCCCACGTTAAAGGCCCATGTATAATGCTCCCAGCGGTGTGAGTGAAGCAGTCTGATTAAGCCGTAGGTGGCATTTTTACACCTGCTTTGGACAAGTGTAAATGTCTAGCCAGTGAAGAACTAGGCCTGTCATCTTTCCCTCTGCTGGCTTCTCAGCCGTGCAGCAGGAGTCACAGAACAGTGTATGCACAGAGTGCCAGGAAGAGTGGGTGTGAACACAGTTTCAGTTCCATTTTTGTTTCAAGCTGGCCAGCACATTTTGGGGATATTCTTTGTGCCCCTGAGTCACAATCACACACAGCATAGGCTGTACCAGCAAGAGCTGCATTAGGCCTGGTCTACACTGGAAAGTTATACCAGTATCACTGTGTTGGACAGAGTATGATTTTTTGTACCAATATAGTCATGCCAGTACAGCACCCATGGTTTGGACGCAGTCAAGCCAGCATACAGTTACCTTATACTGGTATAGTTTATTCCCCTTTCCATATGGGAATAGCTATACTGATATAAAGCACGATTATACCAACATGGCTGCGACCTCCTCACTAGGTCATACTGCTATAAATATACCAGTATTGTTCACACAACACGACTTAGACAAGGCCTAAGAAAGTAACCCGGGAATGTTTATTAGAAAAGCCCCTTTCTTTTGCAAGTGGAGTTGCATGAGCTGAGGTTTGCACGATGCTGGCTGTGGGAGAGGCTTTAGAGTTGCCAAAAGGGTTGGAAGCATAAAGTCTAACCTGATGTAAGGATCTGTTTGGAAAATCGCTGTGTGACGATCAGTCTTTCTCAGCTATCCTAACAACATTTAGATCCATAACGCAGCAAACTTCCTAAATCAGTGCACGGAAGCCAAATCTCTGATCTGGTGCAACCTGCTTGCTAGGCATTTTAATGCAAAGGGAGGACAGCTTAGAGAAAACTGGCTCTAACTGCAGTGAGGGCTAATGGAATGAGTAGGAAGGTAGATGCTACCAGTTGCAGGGTTCCAATCCCAGCTGTCTTGCTAAGTAGCTTTGGCCAATTTTCAAAAGCCAGGGCAGGTGCCAGTAGTGATTTGGGGCTCCATCCGAGGAGCTCCGGTAGGATTTGGGGTGACCAAGGGATTTTTAAAGGTGGGTTTTGGACACGCCTTATTCCCAGTGCTCTGTGGGATTTTCAGAAGGGCCCATGCAAAATCCTTTGGTGCTCAGGGCTAAGCAGAAACAACCACTAGGTGCATATTAGCATATGTCAATCAGCAGACTGCACATGAGGCCTGGACATCCACTGGGCAGTTGCGTGAAGGAGGGCTGTTTTCAGACACCGCTGGAGAGTGGCTTGAATGATAGGGTTTGGGGCAGGTGCAGGCGATGTGGGAAATGACACCAAGAACAAGGGCAGCAAGAGAAACCAACTATGTGGGCCCAGAACCTAACACCGTACATTAAACAAAGACACCCTCCTTCCTCCACCAAGGAAGCATTGGTGGGAAAGGGCTGAAGAACCTCTCTGCCAATGCAGAGCAGAGGCTGTGCGCTCAGACTGTAACTCTGGCAGGAGCCATGGCATGAGCCTGAATATTTAGTCACCCCAGGCCTGACCCCCATCTCATGCAGCCATGGTGTCTAGGGACCAACGTGTTTTCTAACAGGCTGCAGAGTGTCACCTTGAGTCCTTCAGAGGGAGGGACAGTGCTGCTGTCACCTACTTCTCCTCCTCCTTTGTCCTCCTCTAACTCTCCCTCCAAAAGCAATGCACAGATTGAGGTCCTATTAGATTTTATTACCGTGCAAGCAAAAACAAATTAAAACAGCGGCAAGGACCCAGCCCATGCTCTTTGTCCTCTGCTGGATTTTCAGGTATTTTAGACTCCATGGAAGCTGGAGAGAGAGAGCAGCCCCAGGGGAGCTTCTGGGCACCTCCTACAGGTGACACAGGAAATCTGCATTGCAATTCAACATCCCCCACCCCACCCCTAGTGCTAGAGCGGGACCTGCATTATCTCATAGACCACGGTGAGGTTTTCTGCTGCCACCACCACATACGGCCTGTCGTTGGCATGGATCTCTTGGTGCCTTTTGAGGCTTGATTTGCGGGTGAAGTTCTTCCCGCATTTGGTGCAGACGTGGGACCTTTCCCCGGCATGGATCAGCTGGTGCCTCTTCAGGTGCCCGATGGCACTGTAGCTTTCTCCGCACTCCGTGCATATGTACGGCCCCTCCCGCGTGTGGATCAGCTGGTGCCTCATGAGGTTGGCCTTCTGACTGAAGCTCTTGCTGCACTGAGGACAGGTGTAGGGCTCCTCCCTTGTGTGGATTCTCTGGTGCGTGATCAGGGTGATCTTCTGCCGGAACCCCTTCCCGCACTCGCTGCATGTGAAGGGCCGCTCCCCCGTGTGGGTCCGGCGGTGTGTGATGAGCTGCGACTTGTCGATGAAGCTCTTCCCGCAGTCAGCGCATTTAAAGGGCCGCTCCCCTGTGTGGATCCTCTGGTGAATGATGATGTTGGACTTCTGGGTGAAGCATTTGCCGCACTCGGCGCACTTGTACGGCCGCTCCCCTGTGTGGATCCTCTCGTGCTGGACAAGCTGGGACCTCACGAAGAAGCACTTCTGGCATTGGCCACACTTGAATGGCCGCTCGTCCCGGTGGGTGCGCTGATGCTTGGTGAGGTTGCCTTTCTTGCTGAACTTCTTCCCACATTCAGAGCACGTGTGAGTCCGCTTTCTCCTCAGGCCTCCCCTTGGGGCGGAGAGTGCTCCCTGGTGGCTTTCCTCGACTTCCAGGCTGGGGGATGGTTCCGCTTCTGCGGTGCTTGTCTTGTGTCTTATGAGATCTCCTGTCAGATCTCTCTCACACCTGTTGGGTTCCTGTGAGCCTTGTCTCCTGAGAGGTCTCCGATGGGCTGTGAGATCTCCTGTTGCTGTTGTATTTCCCTCACACCCATTGGGTACCTCAGGGCCCTGTCTCCTGTGAGGTCTCCGATGGGCTGTGAGATTCCCCTTCTTAACAAAGCGTTTCCCACATTTGGCATACTCATGTGCTCTCTCTCCCGGCTGTGTGGTACCTACGTGGCTCCCCATGGTGCTGAAGCTTTTCTCATCTCCATCACCCTTGCCATGCTGGGCTCTCCAGTGGGCTGTCAGATCTACCATCTGATCAATGCTTTCCCCATATTCGCTGCATGGCCCCAGTCTCTGTGGTGCGTCTAATTTAAGGATTTCCATTGTAATGCTGCTCTGCTCCCAGGCTGCCCTGATGGACCAGGCCGCTGGGCTGTTATGGAAGCTTTGTTCGCAGGGAGTGGGTATGTCACATCTGTTTCCGGCTTCGTTTTGCTCTTTCTTTGCTTTATCCTGACTCATGAAGATTTCTACCTCGCATCGGCGTGCTCCCACTTCTCCTTCCTCATTTTGTTTCCTGAGGGGGCTCCCGTTTTTAGTCCACTCCTCTGGACGCTTCTCCTTATTTGAAACCGTTGGGCTTTCATCTGCTGGATGAACAATAAAATACAATCAGGCATTAGTTCAGAGGCTGATGACAGAAGTAAAGCCATAGTCATGGCTGTTAATTTTGGAGAAAATCTTGGAATGATCACAGCTAAGTTGAAGCCCAGGAGCTGGGGGCATTGTTATGTAAAGCTTAGACCGGGGGAATAAGTCTCAGAACTTCTGGTCCTTGGGGGCCATCTTGGCCACTGGCTTGCTTGTGACCATGGCAGTTAATCTATGCTCCCGCTACCTCTGCTCCCCACCTGTGAGCTAGACAACACAGACAGAGGGTGGGAGAAAAGCAATATCACCACCCCTATGTGGCAGACAGAGAACGGAGGCACAGAGAGATTGAAGGATGAAATCCTGGCCCTTCTGAAGTTAATGGGGGTTGGCTTCAGCAGAGTCACGAGTCACACAGCTAGTGTGTGGCAGAACTGGGAGCAGAGGCTGGAACCACAGCCCATTACTGTAACCACAGGTCCAAAGTCCTCTGCCACAACATCAGTGTTTACTAGTGAAGAAAAAGTCCCTGATTCTGATTCACTTCCACCAGCAGAAATCAGGAGTAACTCCAAAGAAGGTCCTGGAGTTACACTGATGCGAAATTGATTTGAGTCCAGAATCAGCCGCAGAGAGAGCAGCTTCTATTGCCTTTGGCCTAGCCACCAGCCTTCCCCTTTCCCTACTTCCCATTCAAACAAGGATATTACCCATCATTATTACAATAAAGCTTTGTCTTTTATTTTATTTTCAGGTGTTGGGGCTGCTTGTTTTCACAGCTTGTTTCCATTCCTTGCTGCTCCTGCTCTGACCTGCTGATCTGATGAGAGCAGGATGAGAGGCTGTAACAGACTCTGCCACATCCAGTTTCTTTCCTCTCTCTAGCACAAACTCTTGTACACATGGAAGTGTGCGACCACTTACTCACGCCAAAAAGCAACTGTGCAATCTTTCTTGTTCACCCATTTTAAATCGCATCCTTTGGAAATGGTTAAAGCTAAACTCACATCAAGGATGAATTCAGCTCATTGACTTTTAGGGTCTTGTTGCACTACAGAAAGAAATGGCCACTAGCCCATCTGTGTTTCAGTGGAGTGGAAATAGGGTTGACTAACTATTTGAAGGGAAAAAGAAAAGGAGGACTTGTGGCACCCTAGAGACTAACAAATTTATTTGAGCATAAACTTTCGTGAGCTACAGTTCACTTTGTCGGATGCATGCAGTGGAAAATACAGTGGGTGTTACCATACACACTGTAACGAGAGTGATCAGGTAAGGTGAGCTATTAGCAGCGGGGGGGGGGGCCTTTTGTAGTGATAATCAAGGTGGGCCATTTCCAGCAGTTGACAAGAACGTGTGAGGAACAGTGGGGGGTGGAGGGAAGGGAATAAACATGGGGAAAACATGTCTGACAGAGGCTCATTCACCTGCACATCTACCAATGTGATATATGCCATTATGAGCCAGCAATGCCCCTCTGCCATGTACCTTGGCCAAACTGGACAGTCTCTACGTAAAAGAATAAATGGACACAAATCAGACGTCAAGAATTATAACATTCAAAAACCAGTCGGAGAACACTTCAGTCTCTTTGGTCACTCGATTACAGACCTAAAAGTGGCAATTCTTCAACAAAAAAACTTCAAAAATAGACTCCAATGAGGGACTGCTGAATTGGAATTAATTTGCAAACTGGATACAATTAACTTAGGCTTGAATAAAGACTGCGAGTGGATGGGTCATTACACAAAGTAAAACTAATTCCCCATGGTTCACACGTTCTTGTCAACTGCTGGAAATGGCCCACCTTGATTATCACTACAAAAGGTTCCCCCCTTCCCACCCCTACTTTCCTGCTAGTCATAGCTCACCTTACCTGATCACTCAGGTTACAGTGTGTATGGTAACACCCACTGTTTCATGTTCTCTGTGTATATAAATCTCCCCACTGTATTTTCCACTGCATGCATCCGATGAAGTGAGCTGTAGCTCGAAAGCTTATGCTCAAATAAATTTGTTAGTCTCTAAGGTGCCACAAGTCCTCCTTTTCTTTTTGCGGATACAGACTAACACGGTTGCTACTTTGAAACCTATTTGAAGGGAAAGTGCTTTAAATTAGGCTTGATCTGCCTATGGACTAAAACACTGTTCCCTAACACTGCGACAGAAACAAGAAATGCCTATGTTAGAACACAGTGCAGTGAAGTGCGGTGCAGTGCATATGGGCACTTAAACAGGATCGTGCACGGCCAGCCCCTAAGGTGTGGTGAGGCCACTTTGCACTGCACCTCTGATGCATTCTGTAGCCGGACAAGGGAGGATGGCTCCAATACATCCAGGCCAGTACGGAGGCATGGCCAGAGGAAAGACGGAGTGGCCTGGGTGCCCTGTTCCTTGCTGATTCCTGGCTGCATCTGGCCTCTAGGAACCAGTGGCAGCTGCTATAACATAGATTTGCACTGCACTGGATGCTCGCTGTGTCCTTTGCTCTGTACACAACAACAGCATGAAGGCACCACAAGGGCCAATATAACTATTTTTACTAAATATGCCAGGCGTGGCTACATACACATGGCTGTTTCTGGCAGCTTCTAATACCAAGAACACAGTCAGCGCCACTGGAGGGTTCACACACAGCTTAAAAGGATACTGCTCTGCTTTTACATGAGGCAGCAGTCCTTGGCCATAGTGAAGTTTGTGGGTGAAGAGTTAGGACCCAGTCCTGCAAATACACATGGCTGGTCTTAACTTTATTCCCATGAGTAGCCCCAGTGATTTCAGGATCCAGGCCTGAAGGGACAACTTGATGACAGCTGCAGAAGAGAGCTGATGAGAATGACAATCGGTAATAATTAATGCAACATGAGGACGACTTACAGCACAACAACGTATTGTGATGCCGGCATAAAAATGGATTCTTGCTTTAAAATCCAAACACCTGCAAACACTTTGCCTCACTGACATTTTCACAGATATAACCAATGTTCGTAGTCTATATGGCCCTGATTCAGCAAAGCATATGCTAAACTTTAAAGACTTGTTTACCTGGGGAAATTGACCAGCAGAATTATAGCTAGGTCAGTATAACTCCTTTTGTGAACACTCCTATTCTGGAATAAAAGTGACATTAAGCTGGTGTAATATACATAATTATACAGCTATACTTCTGGTCAATTTCCCATGTAGATAAACCCGTTACATCAGGTAACTAACTAATTGATGATCTAAGGAAAATACACTCACACACCCACCTGCGTGCACACAACCAGGATATGAGCCGCACCACATGGCCTCATCAAGGCAGTTTGGGCTCATTATTTTCATACAGTTTTTAAAATTAAACACAGACGATTATTTTCTTTGACAAGGAGCTACTTTGATGTGTCAGCTGTTAAATAAAAGGACCTTAAAACATAAAAGATTTTGGTCCCATTCTGCTCATCAGCAAATATCCCTGGATACCTTGTAACTTCATCAGCTGTGAAAATATTGTCCCCAGTGCTTGCGTTTAAAGAAACAAGCAGGTGGCACCCAAAAGAATACATATCTGATTCTGATCAAAGAGGGAGATTTAACATCAGTAACTGCTAGACGTATAATATGAAGTTGATCAGAAATTTTCATGAAATATTTCCATGTATCAAACAATTTTTCACTTCTTTCTAGTTTATTCAGTCTCTAGTGATGAAACTTGGCCCATATACAGACACAAAAGACATTCATCGATGCTATCTTAGCTGTGGGAAAACATCCCCTTCAGGCATTTACCTTTTGTTCTCTAAGCATTAGCCAGATGAGGATTTTTCCATCAGAGGTAACTTGGCAACTAACGCAGAGTCCAGACCTCTCGCTTTTTGTCACACAAACACACTGTGGCTCTGCCCATCAGTTATTCTCCTCCAAATGTCTGCTGTGCTGACTCACAGGAAGTCTGTGTCCAGGCTTTAAAAGCTACCGGGGAAAGGGTAAAACACAAGGCAGAGAAACAAAGCCAGCAGAGCAGGGAGAGAGAAAGAGGCTGGAAAATCCTGGTGGATTTGGAAACCAGCTGGCATATGGGCAGAGCCTAGGTACCCTGGCATTGCCAGCCCCATCAGTTCTCCTGAAGATGCAATCAACATTAGCTAACCCTGGGCACTGGTGCATTAGCTGCACAGCTCCTCTTCTAGGGGATTTGCAGTGCCTTGCTGGGAGTTGTAGTCCTCCTGAGTGAGCAGCAAACAATGACTAATGTTGCTTTTTAAAATGAGCTGCCTGCTTTGAATAGAGCTTTTTACTCCCTTGGGTGGAACATTTAGCATGACCTCCAGGGAAGCAGTGTCCCTGGAGCTGTAATTAAGGAGAATAAAGAGCAACTGCTGCAGAGCCTTAGGGAGAAATTTTTCCAGGAATACTTTCCTCTGGTTTCATGGCATGTGGCAAGGCAGAGAGGTGGAGGAGTTGGTCAGGCTTCATGTGGTTGACCTATACCACATGTGGTTGACCTATACCACCAAGTTTGTGGGCATGATTAAGTAGCTGGACCAGGACTTTGTTTATTATATTACACAGTGTGGTTGAAGATGAGATGCACCACACTGTGTAATATAATAAACAAAGTCCTGGTCCAGCTACTTAATCACGCCCACAAACTTTATTTTCCATCTCCTCCTTAATTCGTATGCTGCTGCTGTTAGGGCTACCTGCTCTTTCATCATCAGGGAGGTTCATCAGAAACAGTGTAGCTCCTGATTGGGACTAACACTCCTAGCTTGGGACAGAATGTTTGTTCTTCTTGTTGTCAGCTTGGAGGGCAGAGCTGGTCAGCAAGCTTGCAAGTTAGTGTGATCTGCAAATGCAGAGACACAATTTACAGGCTCTTTGTGCCTGCCGGGGTGTGCAGACCCCATCCCTAGCCTGGCAGGAACGAGTTAATACTTTTGGCCTCAGAAGAGCCTCAGCTGGCTGCAATCAGTGGGAGGGCATTCAGGAGGGGCCAGGGGCCTGTCAGTGGGGACTA